CATTATGGCAAGGACTGATGGTTTATAGATTGTAGCTAAACTATTCAAATACATATGATTAATGAATACACTAGAATTTGGAAATAATCATTCTAATGTATTTGTGAATAGTCTAGCGACAGATTTCTGAAGCTTACAGAGTGCTTCAAATCTACTGATCAGTAATCTAACCTCATTCTTCTTTCAGGCTGTCATTATTTGTGTATCACATGCTTCATATGTTTATTTGTGCATGTATTAGTCATTAATCTCAGACTTAACTTGAATTTCTACCACACATCGTTTCACAATGGTGGTGTATGTTTAAACCATCTCTCATTCAAACTTTGCACTGCACAAAACAATAGTGATTTGTATCATCTTCAGATCATATTAATAAACAGCTGACTCAGTGAATTGAATAGCTTACCAAAATAAGAAAGAAACACGTGATTTTATCTCTATAATACACAATGGTATACTTCATTCAACGAAGTGTCATTTGTTAACGGTGTATTTTACGTAAACAAGTAATGGAGAGAAAGATAACGTCTAAAAATAACAATGTTCACAAACTCTCAAATAAGTAGTTAACACCTAACCTTCTAAATAAATAAACTTTACTACTTTTATTGAATATTCTATCTTCATTTAGTTCAGAGGCACAAGGTCAACATACTGATACATCAAACAGCATAAGACACAGAATTATAGTGAAATCCATGAGTAATCAATGTATAGACGGAATCAGAGACGCCGCATTTTTATCGTATATACAAGCAAACTTAAAGATTTTGTTGCAAATCCTTGTTATGAAAGGCACAATGAGCCTTATGGTCAACAAATATCAGTGACCTTGATATGATGAGACGTCATCAGTTAACAATACTATATCACTGTGTCATATCAAACAAAATTATTCTATGATTCACTTATATCCTACAATAGTGCCCGAACTCTAATCTTATATGAAATTCTTGCGATGTTTATATAGAAACCTTTCAAACACTTTTCTGTGTTGACAAGATCCCAACAACTTTGTAACTCTATGTACGCTTTTTCCTCTGTGAATCATTCCTTTTTTACTTATCTTGCTATCCTTCAGTTACCTTTATCTTTCTTATTTACTTAAAATATTCGTGTTCCTAAGTGTTAACTTAGGTCAAACAACTAATGAATGTCTGAGATCATGTCCGTGTGCCGTACATATCAATACATTTTATTTCACAGGTTCTCATCAGCTGCAAACTACCTGAAATTACAATGGTTATAAATAATGACATTTCATACGTCAATGTTTGAAAGGTAATAGAGAAAACATTATAAGATGAACGCCTCCAGAATGTAAGCACTACAATTTTTTAGTTTAAGTCATCATCAATTTATACGCTATCAAACTATGAAGAAAGAGGGAGGGGTGAGAGAAGACAGAAAAATCTAATAAACAGTGTTAGCTTTTAGGTCAACATAGCAACTCAAGACGGTTAAAGTTTGTCAAATTGAAAGCTTGTTCAGTGAGCTGAGCTCACAAATGTGTAAGAAAGGCTTCTATCCGGTTTTCAGACCATATTTCAAGAAACGTATGCTTAAAAGGAAGCAGATATTTACAAAGTGAAATTACCAGACACCTTGTGGATACGGCATCGACTTTGAAAAGGCCTTTGACAGCGTCGATCGAGAGGTGATTTGGAAACTACTTCGCTACTACGGGGTGCCACCGACAATAATACATCTCATCCAACAGCTATACGACAATGCTGCATGCCAAGTAATCCACAATGGGAACCCTTCGAAGTGAGGACAGCAGAAAGACAAGGCTGCCTACTATCGCCAATGATTTTCCTGATTGCAGTAGACTGGATAATGCGACAAACAGTGGGCAATGAGGAAACAGGCATAAAATGGACTCACACAAAAAACTTGGAGGATCTGGACTTCGCCGATGATATATATCTGATTTCCCACAAACTGGAAGATATGCAAGCGAAAAGCAACAAGTTAGCAGAAGAAGCATCAAAGATAGGACTTCAGGTGAACATAGATAAAACAGAGGTGATGAAAATTCCTGGGCAACACCATCAACAGCAACAACAACAACTGACAACAATCAGCATAAATGGGAAGAACCTGAAAGAAACAACCTCCTTTACCTACCTGGGAAGCATCGTTTCAACTACAGGCCGACGGAACTGACGAGGATATCAAAGCAAGAATCGGAAAAGCAAGACAAGCTTTCACTACTCTCAAGTCTGTGTGGAGGTCAACAACACTCAGCATCAAAAATAAGATCCGGATTTTCAACTCCAATGTGAAGTCAGTGCTACTATACGGATCAGAGACTTGGCCAGCGCGTCATAAAGAGCATCTCAAACAAACTACAGACCTTCATTAACAGTTGTCTTCGCTCAATACTCAAGATCAGATGGCCAGAAAAGATCAGCAACAAGGATCTTTGGGAACGAACCAACCAGGAACCGATTGTGAAACAAATAGGCAGGAGGAAATGGAGATGGATTGGACATACTCTTAGGAAACCATCAAGTGACATCACTAGACAAGCCCTTGAGTGGAACCCGAAAGGGAAGCGGCGAGTTGGTCGTCAGTGCAAGGGTGACTTGGAGGAGGTCATGTGAAGAGGAGATGAAAACGTGTGGGCAAACTTGGAGCCAGGTGAAGACTCTAGCAGAGAACAGAACGCAATGGAGACGCACGGCTGAAGCCCTATGTTCCTGTAGGAATTAAAGGATACAATAATAATATAATAATAATAATTGTGGATACGGGTCATTTTGTCGAGATTTCCAGCTCCTTCAAAACATTAAACATACAAAGGACAATGAATTTACTACGATTAGCTGAAGCAGTTGCAATCAATCGTTTTAGACCAAACTTATGCACACAGAAAGAGTGTAGTCAATCGCTCACTCCCTTGGTAACGTATTATTTTAATTACTCTGATTGGTCATACACATTAGTGAGCTCAGCTCACTGAGCAAGCTTTCAATTTGACAAACTTTAACCTTCTTGGGTTGCTATGTTGACCTAAAAGCTAACACTGTTTATTAGATTTTTCTATTTTCTCTCACCCCATCTTTCTTTCCATAGTTTGAAAGCATCTAAATTGATGATGACTTAAACTAAAAAATTGTAGTGCTTATATTCCGGATGCGTTCATCTTATAATCTTTTCTCTATTACCTTTCAAACATTGAAGTATGAAATGTCATTATTTATAACCATTGTAATTTCAGGTAGTTTGCAGCTGATAAGAACCTGTGAAATAGAATGATATCATTTTATACTGCAAATCTGGTCTTTCTTTCTCTATCGGAATTTATCAAGGGAACCAAACGTATGAAACATTTATTTTATCACCAAAAGACTGCTTGTGTTTTACTCGATTTATCCGAACTAACACTTCACGATGAAATCTTTAGAGGAAAGTACAAAGCGTTAATCCATGTTTATTTACTGACGCTTTTTATACCAATTAATTCAAATATTTACACAATACAGTCGATGGTATATGAGATTATTCTTCATTATGTACTCTCTTACGATATCAGAAATGACAGCTTTCAGCTTATTTGAACATTAAGACGAGTGAATTACCAGAGACAAAATATGAAAACAAATTTGGTCTACATTTGTGTTCCATTTTGCGGACACATGGCGAAAATAATACACGTTCAGTTGCATATTAGAGAACTGGTATATGAACTTCTGAAGTTATAATTTTAAGGACAGAAGGCATAGAAACATTTGTGGAGTCTGTATCAATACGATTGTACAGTTTTTTGTTAGATGCCTAAGATGGAAACATTGTACACACCTTCTGTTTGGAACAATTCATAGTAAAATATACACAACTTAGGAGTGGAATCTAAAGTACAGTGTGCTGCTCGCCGCTTCGTCTTCTCACCAGTCTATTCTGTATGCTTGCTTCACTATTAACCATGTTGTATCCACTAGATTTTTGCAGGAACCTCTCATCCTCACCCGAAGACTATTCTACAACCGGTGAACAGCTTCCAGCAGTGAACACTATTGTGGACTACATTAATAATTTGTAGCAGTGAACTTTAACTGTATAACCAAATAACCATTAATTTCTATAACTCGTTAACTGTATTTTTTATAATATACTATTACACTATCGTTTCATTAACTTGGATTTTTATCCAAGTATTTGTTCTGTTACCAAGCTCGCTATAAAGTTCTCTACACATTTATCTTCATTGTAAATAGTAGATATACTAGAAAACTCAATTAAAATGCGCCTTATTGCTTATTACTGTCCGTTTCAGCTAAATCTACTGGCCAACAAACATTTTTAAGTGTCTTTCGAAGTTCTAACTATTAAGTGGGCGGTAGTATCTACAGATTCTCCTTTTGTTCGAATAGTTTAACTGCTTAGAATTTTAGTAACATAAGAATTTCATCAGATTTTAACGATAAACGGATGTATGTGCAACATTGCACGGAAGTGCACTAAGTAATTTTATCAAATTAAGTAGCCAGTCGCCTTTTTTTTAGTTCAATTGATTGATTGGACCGAAATGTTCAACGGAGGCCGAGTCTCAGTGGGAACACCATCACTCATTGTAAACGCGAATAAATCCAGCTGACGAGTCCCAAGTGGGACGAGTCGTGTATCTAGGAATTCACTGCTAGTCACCATCCACCAAATTACTTCAAGTAGGCTCTTTACTGAATAAATATATATAATTAAAGTGGCAGCGTATATTTATACTGTTTTTATTTACACTTGGATGATAGTAAATTGGCTTATGTTAACTACGTGCCTGAATTATGATGAAATTATTGTTTGACTAGAGTTTCTTTCTACACGGCATCACAGGGAACATAACTAGAGTACGTCAAGCTCATGTTTCACCCTCCTATTAGACTGCATTTAAGTCTCAAAAAGGTGACCACCTTATTTAAACTCTTTCAAAAATGATTATATTTAAAGTTCAACAAGTTTATTTTCATAAAGAGATAGAAATTATGGACAAGGCGTATATATATATATATATATATATATATATATATATATATATATAGGGAGAAAGATTTTCATTTCGTTAACAAATATCACAAGCAAAGAAGGTGAATATGATACGTTAATAGATAAAACCATATTTTCTGATTAAATTAAATGTAGGTATATTGGACTGCTGACGGAGAAAAGCCATTGATTGATTCAAGAAATTTGTGGCAAACCAAATTCATCTAGTGTGACATTCTGCAAAAGTTAGAAAGCATTAGTGAAGTCTTATGAAATCAATAATAATGATAATACCAGTAGTTATATATAGGCTTCGAGATATTCTAGTGAGCGGTGTTGGTGCTTGAAAAGAATACAAACCCTAAAAACTTTAAAGATATCACAGTGGCTACTCTCTCAATTGAAACTACATTTCTACTCATTACATTTAAGCATTCAACACTGAACAAAAGTGGCATAACATTAAATTATTTGGAATAAGAAATATACTTTTATGTAGAATGCTGTTTCATATTTTGCGTAGTAGCCAATAGTATCACTTGACTGTCCAAACTTCTTTCAGAGGGTCAGAGTTTGAAAATGTGAATTTCTACTTGAAAGTCGGTGGAATATACTAACGAGTGACACTCTAGTACTTATTTACACAAGTAACCACGTAACGAAGTTGAAGTTGATTCAACCACGATTTAGAAAGAGACATGAAATCGATTAATGTTGATCAATGTATCAAACTGATTTATGTATATCATGAAAAGTTTTCGTATTTGACCAGTGCGATCCCTATCAAGACGCCTATTATTCTTATATATGGAGAAAAAAGTACAAATTAAGTGATTTTCAGAGGAAATAGTACATTTACTTTTAGCTTGAATGATCACTGGAGAAAAATCGTTTATCATGCAGCTATAAATGTAGGGTGTGTTATCGGATGTTGTGTCAACTTCAGCATTCGCAACTTTAACAGAATTTACAGCAAGCTGCAAAATTGTTTTGGAACTGCCCGTGACGACCTATGACCGGAGAGTAACTAGGATATGTTGCTGAGTGTTTCCAATAAACTGTCATCAAAACTGGCTATTTTATTACATGAATAAAAGTTCACAAATGTCAAAGTCATAAAGTGACTCATAATTTTACTACACGATTACACCTACGCACAGAATTCGCTATTAAATACACTTGTCATGTGAGTGAAAATTTATGAATTACAACGAATACGAAAAACATAAATTCAACATGATATACTGAGATCTTGTCATCGTTATTACTCCCGTCCTTTAACCAATGAGTTATTCAAGATAATGGATGGTGTACACAAAATCGTTTTCCGATGATAAATGAAGGAATACCTCTTAGTATGCAGTTAAACTGACTTATCATATATAGTACATCAGTATTACAAGTGAAGTAACCTTGAAACAAATAAAAAATAAAATGAACCTCTTCTGAAGAGTCCGAATGAAAATATCAAATTTTAAATGCGAATTAGTAGATTTATTGTCTTAGACGGATGCATGAAAAAAGAAAATCATGATTGTAAATTTCAGTAGATTAACTTACTGAGGCTATTTTCGAACTGCCTGTAGCTGGAGTGGGTACACTTTCCCCAGGGATTCCTGTCGGGACAGATGGTGCGTTAAATTCTTCACTCAGATAGGTCGTATCACTGCCTAGTTCGTCACACAGACCCATTAATTCTTGTTCCAGCTCAGCTTCGTCAACATCTGGTGTTGTGTAGGATTGACCAAGAATGTCTTGTAGCTCGTCAGTTGAAGTAAGCAAATCAGCTAAGTCATCCTGGAGATCCTGTTAGAAAAATAAGCCGAGATTTAAAGAAATACTAAATTATCTCACTACAAAATGATTACTTAGAACACATTATCCTCGAAAGAAAGTTGAATGCCTACACAAGGATTAAATGCTAACACATAATCCGACAGGTAACCAAAGAATGTCTGATAAAAGAGCTAAATCCGTCTCTAGGTGATTACTATAGACGCATATCAATACATAATATTTGTTAGAAAAATAATTCACTTAGTTATAGACTATGAAATAAAGTACTAGAAAACCATATGTAAACAACAAGTTATTTTATTTAGATAATGTGAATTCCGAAAGTATTCTTTACTGATATGGCCTGTCACTTAGAGATGCAGAAACTGGTACAAAGTATGAGTTGAATTTGATGCACTTCGTAAAAGCATACATACAAGCATAAAAGAAAGAAAGGTAGTGAAATCATAACGCTAAAGGATATCAGAGGGCATGAAGATAAGTCAACATTTAAAGAATATAAAAGATGAAAACAAGTGAATACATCTGCGCAAAAGCGAACGACTTCGAGGCGTATCCTTGACATTCTCCAACCGTAAATTCTTAACAACTTCGCCTAGTTTACTAGCTCGCTGGTTTTCTAGCCCGAGTAAGGAAGGAGGGTTGGGTGTGGGGCTAGTGACACTACACCACAAAACCTATCAAACTGCTATAGAAACTTCAACGCACAAAAAATTTATTAAAAATACAAAAAATTCAAAGGACTATCTTATTGTCCGCTGGAATCGGATAGGCCAAATGACACAACGGGCAGGTAAAAGCCTTCCGGAAGCCAGTCAGCCAACCGACGTATAGTCTCTCGATTAACGCAAAAATAAGAATAGTGACGTGGAATGTCCGTACAATGTATGAGGTTGGGAAGGCTGCCCAGATAGCTGAAAAAAATGCGAAGATATTGCATAGAAGTACTGGGAATCTGCGACAGCAGATGGAATGCATGTGGACTGTTGAAATTGTCAACTGATGAGTCAGTAATCTACTCCGGTCTCGTCACCCAGAAGACAACCACGGGCACACTGAAGCAGTGAGTGGCTATCATGATGTCACTATCGGCAGCCAAAGCCCTAATGCAGTGGGAACCAATCTCCTCCTTCAGGATCATGACAGCAAGATTAAACTCAAAAGGAAGGAAGGAAGGAAAGTCACGACTATCCAATGCTACGCACAATGCAACAAACGACGCGGAAAAAGAGAAGAAAGACTTTTACAGACAACTACAAACAGAAGTGAACAACATCCGAAATGGTGACATCAAAATCCTCATGGATGATATGAATGCCAAACTGAGGGCAGATAAATACACGGAGAGGACTCATCCTGGGTCGAGAGGCTCTCTCTAGGAAAAATGAATAAGAAAGGAGAATTATTCGCAAACTTTTGCGCTTTCAATCATTTGGTGATTGAGGGAAGCGTGTACAAACACAAAGATATGCAGTGATGATCATGATGATTTTTGCAGAGCATTTGACACACTGCATGACCGACTGAAGTCTGTGAGGCATAATAGGCCCAACTAGATGCCTTTCTTATGAATTACCAAAGAATACAATCTTCCTTCAACTCACTCAGGATATAATAGACTATATTGCATAGTCATACTGGTGATAATGTAATAATATTGAGAAAATCTGGACTGCAGTATTTTTCTCTTCGGTATATACTAGAAAAATGTGATAGGATTCTCCGAACCAAGTAACATTCTGTGCTGCCTTTCTTCACTGTACAAGTTCAGCAAAGACTAGCTGTTGTCAGAACTTAAAGACTTCATTTATTGATACCACTCATTATATACACGCATGGTAAAGATAAAAATTAAGCAACATAAACTTGGAATAACATGTGTATATGCATGAAACTGCAAAAGATATAGCATTTACCTCGACATTGTTCAGGTCAATACGCTTCATCTCTTTTTTCAACTCCTTAGCACCTACTTTCATAGCATCTACAGTCGTTTTTGTGTCACGTACGGTTTGTATAGCAAAGTTGGTCTGCTCAATATTGAAGCTTTGGTTGGAAAGCTGTTCCTTTTGATGTTCATAGACCTTCTTTTGTTTAAGTATCCTCATTGCCTTCATTTTGACATTGTTTTTTGCTGGACCTTCGCGCATCTTCAACATTTGCTGTTGATACTTTTTGAGTTCCTCATCAAGCTTCTCGATTTTTTTATCAACGGAGTCAACCCTACCATCTACCTACAGGAAATGAATCTTGTTAAATGATTATCCTACATTAGCAATGACATCAGTCAGATTCGGAGGGGGCTGTTTTGGTTTCGACTGTCCGAAAATCCGGTTCATTCTACCCTATATGATTAGAAAATCACTACAGCCAGCTTTCAGTTGCCAGCGGCAAATCTTGACGACCTTGACTATTATTGGCCTATTTTCTGCCAGATTTTCCAATTTTATTGTTGATTGATTTCAACAGGAAATGTATGTATTTAAAAAACAAACTATTAGGGCATACAAATATCTTATTTCCAAAAAGATTGTCATCTATGGCTCCACTCTAGTCAATACAGTAACTTTAAAAATACGTAAGATTGACCAATCTAGTGGTAATAATTAGTTAACAATAATTAGTCAATATTTACCTCTCGAGGAAAAGATAACTGACCAACGAAATTAACAGAAACATTTAAGGGGTACAAATAGCTAAAATTTAAACGAGTGGATCAAATAATGTACAATTTCTGAATGACCAGGAGTAACTGGGAGATACATGAGTGTTCAGATAATAACTTTCAAAGGGATTAGGGGAAAAACTGCCAGTCGTTTACACTCATGCAGTGATGGCCAAGGTAAGAAAAGTGGCAGCAAGAATTTCTGCTGAACACAGTTCTGATTTATTCAAGACGGTGTCTATGTCTTCAGCTGTATGTATAAGACGAGCTCGTTAGGCGAAATCGACACTACTAAGAATGCTGTAAGTGAATATATTACCAACTTTATAATCAAGACACTACAAAGTGTGCAAATACATATCCACGAATAGATCTTGTTTGTCCCTAGGTCAGTCTTATAAGATAATATTCAGAATTCAATGATGAACCTGCATGGGTACACATTTCATGTAGCTCCATTGAAGCAGTTAAACTGTCGGATGTATATATATGGGGAGAAATCGGGTAGCTTGTCATCGTTTATCAAACGTAAATTTGGGAAGGTTGAGAAGAATGCATACCACTGCTGCGGTGAATACTTCTGTTACAGCACTCTTCAGTGGCTTTATTATCATTTAATTCATGTTATCACTAGCAGTCTGTAGTTTTATTACTGTGACCTGCTCTGGGAAGAAATTCATATTTTTAACGATGCAAAAATCGAGTGAGGATGAAGGCTATCCCGATGTATTCTCGCATGCAGTGTGGGCTAACATGTTCATGCCTACAGAGGAGTTATTAGTATCTATTTTTGTAAAAATGAAGTATATTTATTTAGTTTCAGGATTCTTCAGTTTAAAAACATGATATTTTCGTGTACCATGTCCGTATTAACGCGTAAAAGTGTCTTCGCATCCCAGATGAATTATTACATAGAAAGGCATTCAATTAAAGAAACTAAACGTAGGGATGACTTTTATTTTTGTTTTGGAGCCTCAAAGGGTTAGGTTTTCAGATTGTAAATTTAGTACAGGCAGGTTAGTACAGGTTTTAGAGATTGACGGTATCGACGTTCGCGAGTTGTACGGATTATACTAACGCAAGATCTTATACCAACAACCACTATAGTGTTCGTTCTTCGAGTACCAAATGGTAAAGCAAAAGACCAGATTTTGTCGTCCAAATACGATATATATTTTGGGACCAAATCGCGGGTAGGAATGAATGCTTAGCTAGCTAGTAATCGTGCACGCACGTGACACGACGAAGCACCAAATGGCGGGGATGCTTGACCGTAAGCCTTCAGCTAAACAAGTCGACTTAAACAGTGATGGTCAGCATCCAATGTTGAGTGATGATTGCTGTGGTTAATAATTTTGGGGAATTATTTACCGCTACAGCTCACTCCCCCCCTAGTGGGTTTGTGAGGACCCTAAGACATGACCAGCCGGAAGTAAAAAAATCTCGATGGTTCCCTGATGGGTGAAAAAAAAGTCTTCCAAGCGGCTTGATGGAGAGCCTGCTGGTCTGTCTGCCTATGCTAATAGGGTGTCTGCACATAGCTTCCTCAGTGTTGTTCGTTGGATCCCGTGCTTCGTTTGTTTCCTGTCCAGTGCCCGTTGCACCTGGAAAAGAAAACAAGAATGCTGTGAACCTCGTCAAGAAAAATGTACCAAATAAGCGTTTTTTTTACCAAAAAAATATGACGTGCATCTACTATACAGTAAAATAATGTAAAGTTCAAAATATCGGGAAAAAAATATACATCTAATTTAATTTTATGTACGGTTATAGGAAAAATATCATTTACTTGTGTTAAATGACGCAACATATAAAAAAAATTGATGTGTCACTCAGTTATGTGAGATAGGTGTGAAGGTATTCTGGGAATCTAACGTGACGTCCAGAACGCGTTTTCTTAGAGTGATCGACCGAAGTAGCCAGTGGGCGAATGCCCTGACAGTCAATAGTGTGACTCAGAAAATCGAGTGAGTCAACGCCTATCTGACACTTCTGTATATTGATGGTAACACCATGTTGGCGTAACCTTTCAAATGCCAAGTCCAAGTGTCTAAGGTGAGTTTCCTTATCTGGACTGGCAATGAGGCAGTCGTCTAAGTGTGCGTATACAAAGTCGAGACCGCGAAATACTTCGTTGATGAAGCGTTGGAATGTTTGTGCCGCATTCCGGAGGCCGAATGGCATACGTAGGAATTCAAAAAGTCCGAAAGGCGTGATGATAGCCGTTTTCGGAATATCTTCCGTTGCCATCGGGATTTGGTTATATGCTCTAACCAAGTCGATTTTGGAGAATATAGATGCCCCAGATAACGTTGCCGTCAAGTCGTGTATGTGAGGCAAAGGATAGCAATCAGGGGTTGTTTTGGCGTTCACTCGCCGGTAATCACCAGTGGGTCGCCAATCGTTACTATCCTTTTTCGGTACCATATGCAATGGGGATGCCCATGGACTATTCGATGGCCGAATGATGCCAAGGGTGAGCATATGATCGAATTCGTTTCTGGCAATTCTCAGTTTATCAGGGGCCAGTCGTCGTGCTTTAGATGTCACGGGCTGTCCTGAGGTTATGATGTGGTGCATAACATTGCTGGTTATGCACGGGAGATCGTTAGATGGGCAATTCAGTTCCGGATATTTGTCAACAATCGGTTGAAAAGTTGGATCGGGGATTGCTTTCATCTTAACGATTGACAAGCTTGGGCCTACGTAAGTTATGCCTTTGATAGACAAACTAGTGGTGTTGTCAATTAGTCGTTTACGGCGGACGTCTACGAGTAAATCATGATGATTAAGTAGGTCCGTGCCAATGATGGGCATTGTGACGTCAGCGATCAGAAAAATCCACCGAATAGGTTTGCGTAAACCTACGTTCAGATAGACGTATTTCCGACCATAGGTTGCAATTGGTTTTCCATTTGCAGCCTGTAGGTTGAAGTTAGGATCCTTCTGTCGATCTGCTGCTGTAGCAGGAAGGACGCTGACTTCGGCGCCTGTGTCGACTAGATATCTAGTCTGGCTAATTACATCATGGATGTAAAGTAAGCGGCTAGTGCCACCGGCGACGGTTGCCGCTAACGCGTGCCGGCGGGATAGTTTCCCACAGACTTGGAGGCTTTGTCGAAATCACAAGGTTTTCGACAACATTTTGCTTCCTTGCCATAGGTGTTGTGATACCAACACCAGTCAGGATTTTTGAGAGAACGTGTGTTGGACTTAGATCGTCCACGTGCGTTTTGCCGTTGAGGGGATCTAGAACGACGGTTTGAGGAATTACTAGGCTTGTTTGACCTAAGCATCTGCTGGACGGAGTTGGTTAACTCTATCATTGCAGAATCCTTCTTCGAAGTCTGTTCGGTAACAGAGTATACTTCGGTAACTGGCCGTTTCGTTATCTCTATAATTCTATCTGCAGAGAGAGCTAAGTCATCTATGAGAACACCCTGAAGTGTCACAAGCACAGTCTGAACTGACTGTGGCAGTTTGGATAAAAATAGTTCTCTAAACAGTCCTTCATCGAACTGACTTTGGCCAATGATCTCTTTCATTCTTGCCAGCATGCTCACGGCTGACTTATCTCCTAACTCGATGTTACGAAATAACTCATCCAGACGTTGTCGATCTGTGAGAACGTTTCTCTTGAGTATGGATGCCTTTAGCAACTCGTACGAGTTACTTACCGACATCTGCACAGTTACGCACCTGCTGAATTCCCGCGGTAGGGCGTGAATAACTGCAAGGAACTGTGAACGTTGATCAGTTATGCCATGGTCACAAAAATCAGACTCAGTAATCTGAAACCACGTTTCAGCATTATCTGGCCAAAATGGTACTAGCTGAATTGTTTTGGCGGTTGAGCGAATCTGAATAACCTTGGGGCTAGGATCACTCATGACGAAAAGTATGCCGATAACAATATAGTACAAGAATAAACACAAAAAGGAACGAACTCACCGGGTTTATCTGCGTGTGAATGGAAGATGTAGTTCGTGGTTGGGCTCACCAGTTTAGGTGGCTGTAGGTATCGACGCTCGCGAGTTGTACGGATTATACTAACGCAAGATCTTATACCAACAACCACTATAGTGTTCGTTCTTCGAGTACCAAATGGTAAAGCAAAAGACCAGATTTTGTCGTCCAAATACGATATATATTTTGGGACCAAATCGCGGGTAGGAATGAATGCTTAGCTAGCTAGTAATCGTGCACGCACGTGACACGACGAAGCACCAAATGGCGGGGATGCTTGACCGTAAGCCTTCAGCTAAACAAGTCGACTTAAACAGTGATGGTCAGCATCCAATGTTGAGTGATGATTGCTGTGGTTAATAATTTTGGGGAATTATTTACCGCTACAAGGTTAATCTAATGGCAGTTATTCTATGATATTCCGACTTTTGATGGAGAATAGGGCCACAGAAATAAGTTAGACATCTGTTCAAAGGAGCTTAAACTTTTTTATACTCACTCGTGATGGATGAATTCGATAATGACACATCGAAGAAATCATATTATGAATGAGAGAGGCGGCTGAATTTTGCTGTTATCATGTCCATTTTGATGAAGTCCGTGGCTGAAATTGTTCAGTCGAAAATGTGATACTAGTGAAATCTTCATTTGTCGCGTGGAATTTTGGAAGACCGCAACTGCTTATCGCACCAAGTAGCGTCAGCTTATCAGGATATTAGTGTGTATTGGGACAAAAATAATACTATGCAGGGTCTTTCTGAAACGTTAAACTGTTTACAGTTAGTATCACCTTTCTGTCGAAAAGTAGCTTGCAGAGGAATCCTATCATTAGTACACCTGTTACGAATGTTATTTCAGACCTAATGATCAATCATTTTCGGATAACT